CATCCGCTGTACGAACGGTAGGTGCAATCGCAGGCGTCAGAACTTTTCGGAGGCGGCGGCGGAGGTCTGAGCTCATCACAGATATTTGTGCACCCGTATCAAAAAGAGCAGTTATAGGTAAACCATCAACGAGAATTGCAAGGATGTTGCACCGCTGGTCGGGAGTAATCAGAGGATTTGCAGTCCGAGTCGTGTATGCAGCGTCACCTCCGGGGGCTGCACCGGCTAGTTTTCCGAGCGACGGTCGTAGGGAAACCGAGAACGGCGGGGTTGGGGCGAGCGGGACTGACGACGCATGGGCGATGGCGAGCGGCTGGTCCGACGTTCTGGATTATGCTCTGCACCTGTCTCAGCACGGTAGGACGGGGCATAAGGTGCACGTTCAGAGCGAGGCCGCCAATCATAGAAGCTCGGTCGAGGTGATAAGGTCCAACGGGTGCGGCAATGGCAAGCGATGTGTCCTATCCGATGGCACGTGAAACATATGGGCCGATCATCATGAGTGCGCCATTTAGCTGGGTTTCGTCGTGGCGCGAATGTGCGGTTCGGAGTGGCAGCTGCAACGACTGGAGCCGAGCTGGAAGGAGCAGGGGCATTTTGATGAGGTGGCGAAATGCCCGTATTCGCGATCTCTTGGCGAACCACGGCCTGTATCATTGAAACAGCATCGAGGTTGTGTCCTGGCGCGCTGACGCTAGACATAGTGGGAGCCATAGCCTCGAGTTCCCTACGGACTATTCTGGTGACGTTTTCTGGCGCTGGTGGTTGGTGTAGTGTGGGCAAATCTTCGCAAGAGGACGTAGCCGCCGTGTTGGGAAGGCGGTCAAATCGGTGAACTATGCGCCTACTTTTTGCCTGTTCGAAGCGACGACATGCTTCGATGACCGACTCCACCGTCGAGCAGTCCTTGCACAGGAGAAAATTGAAGGCGTCATACGCAATTCCTTTCAGGATGTGTCCGACTTTGTCCTCGTCGAGCATGTCCTTGTCGACCTTGCGGCATAAAGCCAACACGTCCTGGATGTACGCGATGTACGGCTCTGTGGATGTCTGGGCACGAGTCGCAAGCTCTTTCTTTGCGGCCACTTGACGTCCGATGGGTTTCCCAATTAGATAGCGCAATTTCTGCTTACAGACGTCCCAGCTAGTCAACTCTTCTTGATGTGTCTCGTACCAGAGTTTTGCCATGCCATGCAAGTAGAAGATGATGTTCGCCAACATAAGCGTCGGACCCCAATGGTTGCTGCTGCTGACGCGCTCATATTGAACCAGCCAGTCATCGACGTCTATGCCACTTGTGCCGTTGAATAGACCTGGGTCACGAGGTTGCACCACAACGATCGGCTGCGGGGCTGACGACTCTTGTTGACATTGAGTAGCCTGGTCAGTCATCGTGGTAGCTGCAATGCGCCGTCCGCTGCGAAGATCCAGCTCGTTGGGCTGTATAGCGAGTGGTACCACGCACCTTCCACCAATGATGTTACGGGAAATAAAGTATGCACTGGTGAGCAAAAGCGTACTGGTGAATATACTGGCGAGCTAATTCGTACGACGCTGCTGTAGTCCAAGCACGTTCCCGTTCAGCACTTCGTCGTCGTCATCCTCAGGCATCTACTTAGCCCGTGACAATATCAAGAACCCTTCAGGAAGACTTGCTAGATGGAGCCTGCGTCTGCAGAAACATGGCATCATTGTGGTCTACAAGTCCGGTCTCAAGCACAATGACGCGGGTTGCCGGCCTCGCGCACCTGTGGAGTCTCCGTCATCTGACCAAGAACTAGACATGCGATTTCTTGGAGTTCCGAATGTGTCGGAAATGGCTCGTCTTCAGCGAATGGACCCGGAACTACGCCCGCTTGTCCCATACTTAGAGGGTCATCAAACTAAGGTACCACGAGTTCTCTTCTGTGGATTGACATCCTATGTCCTCCGGAACGATGTCCTACGCAAGCGCAACTTCGTAAACAGCGGTGAAACGTTTCTGCTTCTTGCACCATCATCACTGCGAACAGAAATCTTAGAAGCGTGTCATGACGACCCATTGGCTGGCCACATGGATAGTAGTCGCACTTTGGCCAGAATCCACCAGAAGTGATATTGGCCGAAATTAAGGAATTTGGTGCACTATTATGTAAAGTTATGCCGGGATTGCCAAAGACGCAAAACACCACCATCGAAACTAGCGGGTCTGTTGCAACAAAGCCACCTATAGGACCATTTCAGCAAGTGTGAATGGATATGCTTAGTTCATTTCCTCTCTCTTCATTGGGGAAGCGCTGGATTGTTGTAGCAACAGACTACATGACTCGATATGTGGAGACATCACCCTCGCAAAAAGAACGGCGAGTGAAGTAACCCAGTTTTTCGTCACTCGGAGTGTACTACGACTTTGCGCAGCGCAGGTTGTCATAACAGACCGAGAGTGGTGTTGGGCACTTTAAATTTACGTAAAAGAACATAAAGTGTTAAGTTCTGCCTGCTGCACCGAAGTATCGCAGGCGGTTCCTTGTCTGTCATAACAGACAAAGCAACAGCATTTACTGGCCGTTGGATGCAGTCTGTTATGAAGCTCACGCACACCGACCATAGAAGGACTACAGCATACCATGCGCCAACAAACGGATTAATCGAAAGACTCACCAGAACCCTCGCTGACATGATCTCGATGTAAGTGAACTTCTAGCACCAGACATGCAACAGTATTTGACCGTATGCAACATTTGCGTACAAAACCGCAATACAAGAAACGACACACCTCACGCCATTTCAACTTGTTTATGGTAGGACGGTCACAACGACCTTAGACGCAATGTTATCTGTGAACGATGTGAATGAGAGTGACCCGGACATTAGCGACTACATAGAAAAGGCAGAAAAGGCACGGCAATGGGCAAAACATCGTATCATTTTGCAACAAGGCTCCGACGCAAGTCGCTATAGTCTGAAGCGAACAGACGTACAGTACAACCCCGGAGACAAAGTGTGGGTGTGGACGCCTGTACGTGCACCTGGCCTATCTGGAAAACTGACGTGGCGCTATTTCGGTCCTACAAAGAACTTCGCCGCTTAGGCACGCTAAACTACAAACTAATTCCCGAAGATCAAGTGTGCTTAACTCGACGCAGGAATCGGCCAGAAGTCGTACATGTAGTACGAATGAAACCATACTATATGTCGTTTCGTAGTACATGCGGTACTACGAAAGGCACTGAACGAGACAACTGCTAAATGTGCTCAAGCATACGATCAATACTCCTTTACAAAACTGTTCGACGTCAGCTTACGCATCGAAACGATGCGTTTCGGGAGGGGGACTAATTACGCATGTTGTTAGGCACCTACCGAAGTCTTGCAAGGCTTCCTGCCCTTACGAATTCTGCCACACCAACTGACAAGCCAAACGCGCCAAGCTAAACGCACCATGCAACGCTGGCTGCATGTGCCACCACCCCACGCTCTGGAAAATGAAGGCTGGCGGTTTTCCAAACGAGCGACGCGCGGGGAGACGCATAAAGAAGACGTTTACGAGGTTTTTCACTGGTGAGCTCACGACAACCTTTATGTATTTAGTTTACGGGCACAAGTTCGCCATAAATAAATACTTGTCTTACTTTCCCCGTTGTATTCGTTTGTTACATTATCATACTCCCGACTGAGGTCCACTAGTATGTCAGATTTACCAGAATTTCAATTACTACTCCAAAGCGTCAATTCAATAAAACAGAATTTTTTTTCGAGTGGTGAATGGCAGATAATTGATCAGAAGTAGATACCGAATTCCGCGTTAGGTATGCCATGGACGAGAAAAAAAGGGCAGGTACAGGCAATGTGTGCCTTAACGACAGCGCTAGTTTTGTTTAGTTGCAGTACTAGTTAATCTGCTGCACGACAAGAAACTGCTGAAAAAAAACACTGCAGCACTGAGAGTTTGTAAATAAGCCCCGTCTTAGCGGTGATTCTAGCTGGATCCTTCGAAGTGCGTCGTGGAGTATGGCAAGCAGCACAACAGTTGACCTCGTCCTATAGGACGATCTAACAGGGAAGGTTTGGGATTTTGTGATGAACATGCTACAAAAAGCTAACGCAAAATTAAATATTTGTATCCCGGGTATGATGCAACATATAGTCAATGTGAAATATGTTCAGTTTTCGTATGTGCCCGTCTCCACCTTCACTGCCTAAGTCTGTAACTAAATTCGATTCCGATTAACTGATTTGAAAGAAGCATTCTACTTCATCTCGCTTAGAGTGTCCCTCACGGCAGAAGCGTAGGCGTTGTTTATTTTTCGAGGGGGATGGTGACAAGTTCTTGATTGGAAATGGACGCCGAGCAGGCAAATAGTAATTTTGCGTTACGTATGACATGGTCAAAAAAAAAGGCAAGCACAAGCATTGTGCGCATCTCCTCGCTACGCCACTGCTTCGCAGACATCTTTGCTTTGCCAATTTCGAATGGCTTACAGTGAACGCTTTAGTCACTGCGGCAGCGAGGCAACCCTTGCACACCTGCTTTGTCACTGTCCGGCATCTACAGTCACAACAGCTGTCAGCAAAATTAGCATGCCTGGATGGCTCTGTGCTTTCCAAGCAATCAGTCTTGGAATGCCGAAATGTTACAGCGTTCAACCATCAAACCAAGAAGCAAGAAAAGAGCTGTTGAAGCTATCTCATGAATCAACCTTCATAAAAGACATTGACACGATTGTGTTTTAGTGTGTGTGTTTTTTTTCCTTCACGTATTTTTTCAGCACTTTCTCCTTCCTCTTTCCTTCTGTACCTATATATTCACCTTTACCGTTTTCCGGTTAAAGGTTACAAACCGTAAAATTTTCTTCTGGTTTTCACTCAATGTGCTCATGAAGCAAATGTGTATAACCAGCTCGTGTAGTGTTAGATCCTCGTTAGCATAGCAGTTGGCTGTCGAGAGCAGCTGTGTCGCAAGCATAACTGTGCTCTGCAAGGGACAGCAGCTGTACTTTAAATGCAACGGAAGACGCGAACATTTCGTGTGGTTCATCCAGATTTGCAAAATCACCGCAGGGCGCATTAATTCTGGCGCGTGTAGCTGTTCTGCTGCGCTGTTCTTAAAACCGATAAGCTATGATATGGTACTTGCTTCTCAGGTAAGACTTCATGAACTACTTTTCTCATTTGAAATATTTGAAATCTTTAAAGAGAATTTTATTACTATTGAATTGTCCATGACTTATAGTGTCAATGATCAAAATGAAAAATACTGGATGGAGCGTTGATTACGTAATAGTCATCCATTCAAATAGCAAAATTCGTGTAATGTCAGTATTGTAAGCGATACCTAGTCCTATATACTCGTCACGCGACTGAACATGTCTTTGCGCTTTGCATCGTACATCATAATAAGCGTTCGCCAGGTAAGATGCCTACATTCACGTGATTTGCATACTACGTGTAACATTCGAACCTTTCGCTACAATATTCGTTGCTTCAGCGTCATGGTAATTTTTTTTCTACGTCATTCTGATTTGATTACAAACGCGTAGCCGCCACTTGACAGCATGCCCACGGCGGCATCCATGGCCGATTTCAGTAACTTGCACGACGATACTGCTATAGTAGTGCGAGTGTTAATTAGCTGGTGTGACACGCGCGCACTGGCATTCCACACCTTCAGCATGCCCGAAATAGTGCTAAATTGAGATCCAAATTCAAGTTGAGGCAAAATAACAAATTCACATTTTTGCCGCAAGGGCGAAGCAATGGCAGCAATAGCAACAACTTGGAATGTAATGCTGAGAACGGCAAGCAGCTCAAAATGTGCAGCGCGCTGTTCACGCACAAATAACGCACGAAAACAACATAGACAAAAGAATAGCAAACTAAGAACGTTTACCTCTCCACACTTAACGCGCTGTTTAAGTACAAACGACGCATGAAACGTAATCATAGAGATGAGAGCGATTTATTAAGTGTCTCAGTTGATAAACTTTGATGTTATGAAAGCATGGTCTTTTCACAAACGGGGCATTGCAGCGAGCGAAGTGACTTTGTGAGCCAGGCAACTAACGCAATCGTACCGGTGAAAGCCGAGGGCACACGATTCTCCCCATCGAAGGATAAGCGCGCATGCTCGAGCACATAGCTCCTCCTTTCCCTTCGCAGGGCAAAATACGCGTGGAAGATAAGCGTGCGTCGGCACATCGCGGCGAGCTTGGCTCCGAGCACCGGTGGCTTTTTTTTAGGGTGAAGCTTCTTTAATTCTACCTTACGTTGACTTGAGTTTGACGTAACCGAGAGAAGAGACGAGAAACCGATCGAAGAAGAGGCGAGAAAAAATTGGCCCCGAATCTGCATGTTAATCTGCAAATGTCATCGAAAAAGAATAGACTTGCATGTGGAGAGAGGAATCAAAAATTTATTTGATGTTTCGTGCCATAAAATCGGTGAATGGTATTCTGGAGGCGCTTTGTTAGAGTGCCTCGAGTGCGCAGCGGAGGCGAACGAGCGCATCAAGTCACGTCACACGTGAAACATGAGTGCCATCTTGCAGTTTTTTTAGAAAACGTTGCGCGTTGAGACGAGCGCGCACGCCCATCTCAGAGGTGATAAGGTGTAGAACGCAAGGCGACGGGTAGGTGCCACCACCGTGTCGTCTTAGCAAAGCGTTGGAAACACTCGCCTTTTTCGTGCAAGCGTTGCATAGTCAGTGCAGCGTGATAAACGCTACGGTCCTTAGAATTACTTATGTATGCCTTTCGAATTAAAAGACGCACATGCAGACCGTATACGTGTTGCTATGGTGCCTCAGATATGCGCAATATTTGCTGTTTTGTGGACCCCCCCACAAGTATGAACGCTGAATTTTGAGCGACATTGGTGGGCTCTGCAGATGGGGTCGGCTGTTTGCGGTATTGGCTGGTGCCGTTTAGAGTACTCGGTACCGTTAAAGGTGTACAAACAGACAATTGTACAGACAAACAGGCCCAAATTTTTGCATCGAAGGTCGCCAAGAAAGACAATCGTCCTTAAAAAGCAAACGCGACCTTTCAGGTCCAAATCGAAGGCGCGCGATTCTCCTCGCCGAAGGATAAGCTCGGCCGCACAAGCATCTAACCCCCTCTCCCCCCCTCCGCAATCGTGGGGCAAAGAACGCGTAAAAGATAAGTGCCTGTGGGCACATCGTGACCAGCTGAGCTCCGAGCGCAGGGCGGCTACAGTACCCGATACCGTTAAGAGTTGACAAACAGACAAATGTATAGACAGACCAAAAAGTTTGCGTCGAAGGTCCCCAAGAAAGACTATGGCTTTTTAAAAGGAAGACAGTATCTCTCGAACAGTATGCTGGACGGCGCTGTCCCATAGAAGTACATAAAAGCTGCACTTGAGTGAGGATATTCTAGATGATGTTGTACCGCTGCTCCGTTTGGCTTCGGCGCTGGTTGTGCCCAGGTGAATGGCCTGGGCGCACGAAGAAGGAGCGCCTCCCTCAGTCTGCTTGATAGTCGCCGTACGTGGCGGATCGTTCGTGGGGCATGGATGAAGCAGAGTGGCGGGTGCTTTGAAGACGCTTGCGTTTGGCTTTGTTGGCTCGCGTCTCATCGGTGTTACCATCGCGCCGTCTGCATTTTAGAACACGATCAGACGCATGGAACCATGTACGGACGGGCGGACGCTTCACCCTACTCACCATCATTCACTCCGTGGATATGGTGCGACTTTGTTTTCGTTCTTAAGTTTTCATATATATAGATACGTATACATAAACGGTGATTTACTGCAGCAGCGGCGACAACTGAAAAGGAGCCGAGACTGTCCACATAATTGCGATCGCAAAAATAAGTAAATTTGGTGCGAAGTCTTGTCTGTGCAGGTAAACTGAGAAAGTGTTCGGGTATTTGGATGTTGACTAGATGTTCACGACTGATAAGAATCAATGGGCGCTATCTTAACGTTTTCAAAAAGAGGCGGATACAGCGTGTTCTGAACTAAGTTAAGGCTGAGATGATGGACAGAGAGTGTCCTGAATGCCACGTGAAGATAGGTGTGCATAGTTTTTTCCACTAGGAAGTTCAGTCATACCACACTGCCTTCACCTCTCCCTTCTGTTCACCAATTCTGAGAAAAAGCAAGCATCGCTCTTGCTGCAAGAACATCGAAATTCCCGCGGCTGCTCCTCCACACCCTGAAAAAGGCGAAAAAACCTTTTCTGGGTGTGGTGGGAGGAAGAAGTTTCGTGTTTATGCAAACGCCAAGTGACATGGCGGTACTGCTATGGCCTATTTTTTCGTCTTGTGCTCTTAGGAGATTATTTAGCAGTACTGGTAGTAGTTGATGACACTCTCTGACTACACAATGCACATAGAATCCCTATTTTATTCAAAAGTCCCCAAAGAGGCCTCCCAAAGTAAAAGCGAGTGTTGGTCCATGCGACATGCCAAGTTGGCGATCACAATTGTGTACTGTACTTTCACGCACTGTACAGCGTTCACAGTTCATGCTATTCCAATGAGCGCATCAAACGCCCAAACCAATCCAGCAGTGGTGGTCCAACTGCGCCGATTGCATCATTATACAACAATTCCATGTCTCTGTGTCTTCTTATGCACATTCGAATACAGCTTGTACCAGCTTCGCCAAAGCTCACTACTCCACCTTTTTACACCACATCAGGCTATTTATGCCTCTAAAATAGTATCGCTCGCAACGAACATTACTGGAACCAGTAATGGCCCCAAACCCCTACTCGATCCATACCAGCTATGTTCATTTTCTAATTAATGTTCAGCGTAAACAAAATGTCGGTGCCAGTGCGTGTGTCCGTGCTAAATTTTTAGCAACCTGTGGGCAGTCTAACTTATCTGGTAGGAAACTGGCGCGTAGAAAGAGATATTTTTTTATTGGCGCGTATCGTATGTAGCCACCATGGTCAAGCAGCAACAGCTCTCGACAATACACGCTGTAAATGGCGTCTTCAAGAGGATGATGATTCGCCCACACGAGAGTTGGATATTTCGCGAAAAAATTGAACGCATGTTAATAGTTCTAAGCCGAAATTTCCACGTACACCGCGTCGGTTACAAGATGGTGCGCCCCGCCGCGGTGATCTAGTGGCTAAGCTACTCGGCTGCTGACCCGCAGGTCGTGGGCTCAAATCACGGCTTAGGCAGCTGCCTTTCCGATTGAGGCGGAAATGTTGTAGGCTCGTGTGCTCCGATTTGGGTGCACGGTAAAGAACCCCAGGTGGTCGAAATTTCTGGAGTCCTCTACTACGGCGTCTCTGATAATCATATAGTGGTTTTGGGACGTTAAACCCCACAAATCAACAATATGGTGCAATTGCTGCTAGCGCATATCCAAGCGGTCGTCGTGCGTCTTGACTGAGATACCAGCGTAATTCTTTAGCAAGCCAACGTACAAACTTGGCCCTGTGGCGAGCCACAAATAAAGAACAAGAGCTCTCACGCGCACACTAAAAGCCCATAAAACACACGGTGTTGTATTGAATCGGCAAAAAACAAAATTCAGTTTAACCGCAAGGGCGTTGCAATGATTGCGATGAACACAAATTCTAATGTGACATGAAGAAAGACTGGCAGCTAACTCTTTTGGATTTGATGTCGGGTAACTTCCGGAAGACGTGCTCTTGGCAAAAATACAACCGTTCACTGGAGAGATCCTCTTTTCGCATAGTCTCTTTGCGTGAAGAAAGAAGCTGACCGCCGATACCTGTCGAGTTCGTGTGCGAGCCAATGATCGTGCGCGTGCCACCGCGCCCTTAGAAACAATGTTAGCAGTTGCTTCTCGAGTGAGACACCACGCTTCCTCCCAGTGCCGCATCGACAGCTGATATACTACGCGGGCAGATTTTGTCGCATGCACCCTCCGAGGTTCAGAGATGAGCCGGCACGTTTAATCTCAGCTTCAGTCGCGTTCATCGGTATCACTTGCACGCGTTTACTGGTGGGTACAACGTACAGTGTGGGGCTTTATACGGAATATAACTTTGACTTCATACGATGTATAACAGCAACGGCTACGCCAAGGGCAATGTCCATTTAGTTCTTTTCTTTCTTCATTCAATACCCCAGACTTTATGCAGGTCCAAACAGAGTGAAGGCAACAACAAAACAAAGCAAACACATACATA